CTGTACCATTGTACACCTTCGTTTTTTCGCTCTAAGGTCTCTGATTCTCTTGAGCAGCAGTAGTTGAATAGGACAACACTCTGTTGTTCATACCACTCCATAGCTGTTTCTAACGTCTCTCGTTAAGTTCCAGAGCTTTTTCACACAACAGAGGGCCCGATATCGGGTCCCCTTTGCTCCTTCTTTGTGAAAACCACAAGTAGAGTGCACGATCAAGAACAACATCGTTTACTTCCCTTATTGTTTTTCTTTTCTTCGAGCCATCTTCTGAGTCAAGTTTTGATGCAAAATTTAAAATGCTTTCTAGGCTTTTTTTTTGTGTGTGTCAGAAATTGTTGACTTTCCAACATTATAAAACTGTGCTAGAGACGCTCCACTTTCTCCCTTCGCGAGACGGTTCAATATTTCAAGTTTTGTCTCTATGTTCCAGACGTTGCGCTTCCGTTTTGAAATCAAAGCCATATCAGTTCACAACTCAACAAAAGAGCACGTATACACCCCCTCACTTAGAAACAAACTTACCTAATATTCCGTGCAGATGTTTACCAGATCACACAACTGAAATTTCCCAAATATCCCTGAACTTGGGTTTTCCCGTCACTTTTGGCCTCACGCGAAACAACTCTTGAGCATTGCACTGTTCGTAAACGTATTCATATACGGTACATGTAGTTTAGAAAAAAAACTGGTCCGGATATTTGGCGCTCCGGATAATAAACGTTCGGAAAAACGACGTTCTACTGTATTAGGAATTATAAATGTAAATGAGCAGAATATATATAAAAAAAGAGAGAAATGGTATCTGCGATCTCTATTGAAGGAAGTTGAAACTGATCAAGTAAGGGAAGAACCTGCTGAAATAATGCATATTAATCATGATAGCGAAAGTAAATTTAAGAAAAGCGAAAGCATGAAAAGCCTTTTTGAAAAGCAAGAAACGTTTGAATTAAAAGGAAAATTTTCAAATGCTACCTAAAGAACTCCATCAAGAAAAATATAAAGCCACAAGTGTAGCACAAGATACACTTCACTCTGTCAAAAAGACACAAGCAAGAAAAAGTTCAACATGCTATTTGTCGATCATCAAAGGACAATAAAACTATAATAACTTGAACAACATATGACATTTTTGTCTGAAAATAACATTCCTGTAATGTTAGCAAAAAGTGTCTGTAATTCGAGTCCCTTATTAAAGTCACACACGTTTGAAACTTCTTGGTTCAGTTTGTGTGATTGATATTTTTCTCAAATTATCAAAGAAAAATCGAAAAGTCATTGAACGTTGGTAAGTATACTTTCTCTTAATTTAATTATTCACTGGAATTACGATTTTTATCATGTACAATAAAAATAATTATAAACAAGTAATATAAAATTTTTTTCTTTTAAAGGCAAATCTTGCTTAAGTCAACAAAGGAAAATTTCATTTTAGAGAGTTGCTTTTCATTAAACAATTACAATTAATAAAAATATGTAAATGCATTTGACAGAATCATAATATTAAGTAGAAAAATAGAAAATGATTTTCCTTTCTATATATGGTGTTGGACTATTATTTTTGTTTGTTGTTACTATTTATTCATTAATTAAATTTTATTATTCTAATAAAATAGTACAGTATAAAAGAGATCACATTCGCAGAAATTAGGACATCCCAGGCGGGATTCGAACCCATGACCTTTGGATCAGTAGTCCAACGCACTATCCATTACGCTACAGGGACACAACGAGCGATTTTCCTTTCTATATATGTTGTTGGACTATTATTTTTCTTTGTTACTATTTATTCATTTTTTATTTGATTAACGAATTAATATTTGAAAAAAGTATTAACATCAAGTGTCATCC